ATTGTAATGATCGTTTATTGATACATTTACAATCTACATACAGTAAATAGCGTGAGAATAGTCTGGTTTTTCCAGCTGCATTAGGGAGGCATTGATGCAAAAACAAATATACATTTTTTTTTAAATTAGATCCTATGTGTTTACAGTTGGCAACAAGAAAAATATAGCAGTTTGTCTCTAGATTATATGGTATCCACTGGTTAAACATCTTTACATGTACTCATTCTAAAGTTAGATGCTTGCAGCATATCATAGAATTTGCAGATCTTATATATAGTGTCATGAAGAATATAGTTCATTACAATATAAAGGCAGCACATTATATGTTTTGAGGCTCCATGTTATGCTATGAGGGTATGACACTAATTAACAAATATAGCAATTAAGGGGAAGTTAGAATGTAAAACTTCACATTGCGCTCTATATTATCTGTCACTCTTGGTTATACAGTTACAGTCACCAGTGGTAACAGTTTATACATATTGCCTTTAAATAATAATAATTAAAAGAGACACTTTTGAATAATCAGGGAAACTCATTAAATGCTTGCAGTAGTCTGTCTCTTGTGATAATTTAAATTTGAAGTTTAATCTGCTTATATTTTGCCTTCCCTGGTTCATCCACCCCATTCCCCATCAACATGCTAATGATGTTTTTAAATAAAAACATACTGATTTCATTGAAAAAAAAAAAGGACCTGAAATCCAGCACTGCTCTGCACTCCGTGGGACAGGCAGAGCAGAGCGGTGCTGTTTCCTGGTGTCCCAACAGCACAGCCACAGCTAAGATTGGGCAGCAGAAAGAATCACATGGTGAACCACAGAGAAATTGATGCAGAAAGGGGGGTAATTACAAGATCATCTGTGTATCTCTCTCCCTGCAGTGGCTGCAGGGGGAGACATGAGTATTCATGCTGCCCGGACCCCCTTTGTGCCCATCTTTTCCCCCTCAGCACTGCCTACTTCCGCTCCTGTCCCTCCCACTGGCAGCTGTTGTGGGCACACAGGTGAATTTTTCAGTCTGGAAAGTAAGGGAAGGGGCCAATAAATATGTTATTTACCAGCCCCTTCTTTTTCTCAATAAACAGTCAGTGATCAGTACTGATCACTGACTTTGTTCATTCATAACTGAAGCATAGTAAACATTATTTACTATGCTTCAGTTTTATGAATGAACAGGAGCCTCTGTTTAAAGCCTCCTGCACATTCATTCTGCAGTTCAGCTGAGGCTGCAGAGAAAGGGATTGAGGAATGTTCTCAGCCCCTTTCTCTGTCTCAAAAGTGAGACATCAGGGGGCTGTTTAGACCCCTGATATTTCACCAAAGCCCCCCCCCCCCCCCAAAAAAAAAGCATTGTGAAAAAAAAATTATAACTAAAAAAAATTGTAAAAAATATTAAAGTGTCATTTGGACTCGCAGTTAGGAGTTGGAAAGAAATGTGTGGTTGAGCCATGTTTTTGCCACTCTCCAATTGCCCCCCTTAAGCTGCAGTAGGCAGCTGACGGGGTGTTTACATGCTGAGATTTCAATGCTTTGTGCTTGGTGAGGTTGACCTTGTAGCAATTGGCGAGCAGTAAGCCCACGGAATGCTACACATTCGAGTCATAGGGAAAACGCTGAAAACACAATGCATGCAGTTGAGGTGTGTTTGTCAGAAAAATGGGTTAAAACAGGTGGCGAGGAAGTGACTTCTCTTCCTCACTGCCTGTCAGTAGCCTCTGAAGCCCAAACCGAGGTCACATCGAGCTTCAGAGACAAGTAATAGGTGGTAAGGAAGTGATGTTACACCTCCTCTCTGCCTGTAATAACCCATTTTTTCCAACAAATGCGACAAATGCAAGGAAGATTTAGATGCAGGGCTAAGAGACCGGTAGGTCTTTGCAAGACACAGAGAAAACAATTGTTTTCTCTGTGTCTTGTTCACACACAAATTGTAGGTGTGATGTCCAGTGCAGAGCGGTGCAAGATTCTGCAGCATGTCTGCATTTTTCCTCTGCTCTGCACTGGTACACAGACAAAACTGACAGCCCCGCTGTGCATGACTCCATGTGACAGGAAGTGAGCGGCAAAGCGGAGCTGTGCTCTGTGTTTATACTGCCCGCCTACTTTCAATCACATCAGATCCCAGCTGGGATAATGCTACCGGCCGGGTATGTCTGATGCAAGGGGGAATGTTGTGGGGCATTGATGGTGGGGGACAGAATGGTGGGCAGAAAAGAGGACAGATTGGTGGGCAGAAATGAGGACAGAATGGTGGGGGACAGAATGGTGGACACAGATGAGAACAGAATGGTGGGGAACACTGATGGCAGGGGACAGAATGGCGGGCACTGAAGATGAGGAAAGAAAGATGGGCACTGAAAATGAGGAAAGAATGGTGGGCACTGAGGATGATGAAAGAATGGGGGGGAACTGAAGATGAGGAAAGAAAGGTGGGCACTGAAGATGAAGAAAGAAAGGTGGGCACTGAGGATGAGGAAAGAATGGCGAGCACTGAGGTTCAGGAAAGAATGGCGGGCACTGAAGATGAGGAAAGAATGGTGGGCACTGAAGATGAGGAAAGAATGACAGGCACTGAGCATGAGGAAAGAATGGCGGGCACTGAGGATGAAGAAAGAATGGTGGGCACTGAGGATGAGGAAAGAATGGTGGGAACTGAAGATGAGGAAAGAATGGCGGGCACTGAAGATGAGGAAAGAAAGGTGGGCACTGAGGATGAGGAAAGAATGGCGGGCACTGAAGATGAGGAAAGAAAGGTGGGCACTGAAGATGAGGAAAGAAAGGCGGGCACTGAAGATGAGGAAAGAATGGCGGGCACTGAGGATGAGGAAAGCAAGGTGGGCACTGAAGATAAGGAAAGAAAGGCGGGCACTGAAGATGAGGAAAGAAAGGCGGGCACTGAAGATGAGGAAAGAATGGCGTGCACTGAGGATGAGGAAAGCAAGGTGGGCACTGAAGATAAGGAAAGAAAGGCGGGCACTGAAGATAAGGAAAGAAAGGCGGGCACTGAAGATGAGGAAAGAATGACGGGCACTGAGGATGAGGAAAGAATGGTGGGGCACTGAGGATGAGGAAAGAAAGGCGGGCACTGAAGATGAGGAAAGAAAGGCGGGCACTGAAGATGAGGAAAGAATGACGGGCATGAGGATGAGGAAAGAATGGCGGGCACTGAGGATGAGGAAAGAATGGTGGGCACTGAAGATGAAGATGAGGAAAGAAAGGCGGGCACTGAGGAGGAAAAAATAATGGCCATTGATGAGATGAACAGAATGGTGGGCACAGAAGAGGAGGAAAGAATGGCAGCCACAGATAAGGAGGAAAGAATGGTGTGCACTGATGAGAAGGACAGAATAATGGGCACTGATTATGAGGACAGAATGATGGGCATTAATGATGAGGACAGAATGATGGGCACTGGTGATGAGGACAGAGTGGCGGGCTCTGATTACAGAATAAGGACACAGGATGTAGTGTCAGTCTGTGAATAAAAAAGCACATTAAAACTGATGTCAACAAGTATAAAAATTCACTGAAACACACATGAAAACTGATGTAAACTCAAGTCTCTTCAAGTGAAATCTGCGTGGTTTTTTCCATCAGCTATTATGCATGTATGGTGTGAACAAGGCCTAAGGCTGGAGAGAAAAGTGATAGATGATGTTGGAAAATTCTCCAGCTAGCAAATGAGTAAGACTCTATTAGTCTCTTTGCAGCTTTTAACACCTTCCCTTCCGGCCTATAGCAGATTGATGGCAGGACACTCCTCGTTGTGACTGGGAGTCATATGATGTCCTGTCAAAAGGAGCCCTCACGGTCCATGGAACACAGCCAAAGACATACCACTATACCAGCCCGTTGCCAGTGTCATGAGACCGCTGTGACCAATCACAGCAGATCACATGTCAATTGTATACAATGGATGGCTTCCTCATCAGAAGTTAGAGCAGTCTTGTGACTTCTATCAGTGTTCAGCCAAGCACTAGCTAAAGCTTGTAGGAGAAGAACCCCTGACATCTGTATCATGTGATGAGCTTTGCCCAATTACAGCTAATCACAACAAAAGACTGAATTAATCAGTTTTAATTCAGTAACAATGACTGCAAATATCAATGAAATATATTAGTATTAGCAATCATAATGTGTAAAAAAAAAAAAAATCCTCATCACTTGCCCAGAGTAGCTCAATGCTACTAGCATTGTATTGCTTTGGTCACAGTGTGTTGAAAAAAAAATATAGTAAAAAAAAAAAGGAAAAAAAAAATAATGTAATAAACTTTTTAAAAAATTTGAAAAAAATAAAAATTTAATTATTGTTATTTTTATTTTTTTTACATACTGGCACCAGTTAGTGTCTATGATCACCAGTTATTTAAAAATGCTGTAGTGGACTGGTGACAATATGTAAAAAGAAACAATTGTGATTTGTTTAGTTTTTATTTCTACATTTTCCAAAAAATTGTAACAAAAAATTATAACCTCCAAAAAAAATTCACCATGCCTCTTACTAAATACCTTTCTCTGTTTTGTTGTTTGACATGCATCGCCCTTCCATGTACTCCTTGCTGTGAAGGCCAGTTATAGACTGGGGCAGTGGCTATATTTTGTTCTGTTAAATACCTTGAACTGTATTTTCCAAAAATGGATAATATGGGGCTATTTGTACTATCCTGGTGTTTTTGAGCCTCACGAAATGCGATGGCCAGTCAGCACATCAGGATTGATCGATTGTCAAATATATATACCATGGTTTGTGGACTATAAGTTTCCTACAGACTAAATAATATACACTAATTTGGGGTATTTTCAGCAAAGAAATGTAGCAGAATACATTTTGACCTAAATTTATGAAGAAATTTTATTATTTGCAAAATGTTATAACAGAAACGAAGAAAAATGCATTTTTGTTTGTTTGTTTTTTTTTTGTTTTATTTGTCAAAAAATAAAAAAAACTCAGTGGTGATTAAATACCACCAAAAGAAAGCTCTATTTGTGATTACTCACCAGCTCCTGATGATTGCCGAGCATTTCTGATGGAAGGGAGAACAGCCATGCAAAGCAGTGTGCTTACAGTGAAGCACTAACACAGCATGTGACAAGCGTGGCATCAGACCCCAGCCCTTCTCACCAACCTCGTGACGAAGGACTAGCCAATCTAAAACCGCGCTGTCACGGGCGTAACAATGCCACACCCAGCTGCCACCCTGCACAACGATTTTCCAGCTAATGGACCACAGATCGATGTACCAGCACCTGAGCGCGATTGTTACTGGGTCAGGTTAATTACGCAATTAACCCTTCACACTGCCACCACCTCCTTTTTATACAGAGAAAGGGAAACTCAGCAATACACTAGGATGATTGGTTAACCGTCAGTATCTCACTATCTCTACAGACCTGTTATACAGAGGGTTATATACTCATAGTAGCGTTCTTCAGCGGCAGGGACTCGTAAGTTACATTCAGGAGCTATAGAAACAGTTCAACACTTTCAGAAAGTAAGATTTATTACCAAAAAGTCGAAAGGGTGCAGTAAAAAAGAAGATTTACAGAAAGAAGATGTAACCAAATATTTATATATATATATATATATATAGTATATATATATATATATATATATATATATATATATATATATATATATATATATATACAGAGCACAACAGCACAGCAAACAGATAACAGAAAGAAGTTTTGGTAAATAAGTACTTGCCAAAAAAATGCCTGGGGTTAAGCAGTTTCAAGTCTGATGAGCTAAAAAAGGGATTTCTGGTCTCGCACTGGGTTTCGTTGTTGCTTTGCTTTCTGTCCGATAGATGTTATATCGAGGATGGTCCTCACTTCTCTGACTACACACAAAAACTAACAGCTTCTTTTTCTACACAACATCAACTAGCATCTTCACTACCTTATTTGGCAGAGGAATTGTTAGGCAGGGCTCAACATCATACGCTGCTTGCATTCCTGAGGGAGGGGGAATGAGGAGATAATGTCTGCTCTTGTGTGCACACCTCCCCCCCTCAGGTGTTTGCATAGGAGTTTAAGAGAAATACCAAAATGTATACGTTTGTATACAATATGGAGAACCGCACCTCTCCCTGTGGGCATGATTGTGACACAGCACACTTAGCAAAACAGTACACAGTTAACCCTTTGATCACCCCACATGTTAACACCTTCCTTCCCAGTGCCATTAGTACAGTGTCAGTGTTTTTTTATTAGCACTGATCACTGTATTGGTGTCACTGGGGATGTCAGTGACACCAAGTCAGTTCCCCCCAGTGTCAGAATGTCCTCCGCAGTCCCGCTATAAGTCACTGATCATCACCATTACTAGTAAAAATAAATAAGCCCAGTATATATAACTCCATATTTTCACGTAAACCAATTAATTTACACATATTGGGATTTTTTTAGCAAAGACATGTAGCAGAATACATTTTGGCCTAAATTTATGATGAAATTTGATATTTTACATATTTTTACTAGACATGTTTAATAGCAAAAAGTAAAAAATATTGTTTTTTTCTCAAAATTGTCAGGCTTTTTTTTTATGGCGCAAAAAAACAACTCACAGGCAATCAAATACCACCGAAAGAAAGCTCTATTCATGGGAAAAAAAAGGACTTACATTTCATTTGGGTGCAGCGTTGCATGACCGCACAGTTGTCCATTAAAGTAAAGCAGCGCCGTAACACAAAAAATGGCCTGGTCAGGAAGAGGGGTAAATCCTCTGGAGGGCAAGTGGTTAAAACCAATGTCAATTTAAAATTCCATTACTGGAACATGAGTAATGTTTCCCTTTAAAGCGTTGAGGACCAAAATCCCCATAAATAGACAACCCAAATCACAAACAGTTTGTAACACCTCTCAGCTTACAGGGGAGGTTTTCATCATATTTACATGCTTAATTGTGTTTCATGGGTAACCCCTCCTCTTCAGGAGAAATCGGGGGCCTCTTTAAAAACTGAAAATTACCACAACATAAACAAACTACAATGCATTGTAAAAATTTTAGTTGTGGTCTACCTGTGCCCTGCGCCTTAAAAAAATCTTTTTATTTCCATTTTTTCTTTGTCATAAGGCTGGAGTTTAGTTTAACTGTATGTATGTAAAGTCAATAATGTACAAAACAAATATTGTTTTCATTTAAAACATTGTATTGTTATGACATGTTTAATTCAAACAGTCATAAAATGTAGTGCATTGAAAAAAATGTCCACTTTAATATTTGTCAGACATAAATCTTCATTACATAAAATATTTATGAATACATTCAAGTCAACCATTCACTATGTAATTCTTCACTGGAAGTAATCTACAGTAGATGTGCCTTTATTTCCACTGTTTCAGTTCCTTCCATCAACGGTTTTGAAAAGTCATACCTGCCTGTTGATCCGTAAGATACATTTATGGAATATGTTGACAAGGAAACATTCCAGGGGCAAATTTAGAAAAACAGACAGATTCATTTCAAGGTTTGTTGGTTTTTATGTTGTAATAGTTCCTGTTGTTAAAGCTTTTAAACTCAAGTGGAACAACGCTGATTTTCTGAGATTAGGGATTCTGAACATGAATTTCATGTTATAAATTTGGCATCATAACTGACTTGCAAGTGGTACAATGGAAGGTTTGTTACCAATGCATGTGTTCTGGACTTGCTCTTCTTGTATACATTTTGTTGGTTACATATTTGTTGCGCAAGCTGCTTTATGTTTATTTTTTTTATAGAATTGCAACAGAAGGAACCAATATAGGCGTATTTGGCAGGAAGCAAACTTACCAGTTGGCATAATTTTTCTGAATTACGCAAGCTCTCAATTTTTTATGTGGTTAACTGACTATGCACAGCAACGACCCATTTATATACTGTATGAGCTTGTTAATTTACAGGAAAGGAATACTTCATTAGTTCCACTAAAGCTGGCCATACATGGATGGAAAGTTGATGCAATTTGCACAATTTCTGGTTTCCAGTGGCCTTGTGTGACGTCTCGTCCAGTGAGTGGAGTGCACACGGAGCCATCTTGTTACTGCTGTATACCTTTTGAGGCTACACAAGGAATATATTCACAAGGCTTTTCATTATTGATTAAATGTGAGTGGAATATGTATTGATGTTCATAGCTAAATAAATAGCTTAACAGTATTACACTGTCAGTGTCCTTTCTGCTTCCCTCTATTATACGCATGATGATTTATAGAATATATTGATGGATTGCACCTATACTTCATAACCATGCGTCTGGCACGCTAATGAATCCTGGACATATCTGTAAGCACATTCCACCAGAAATAAGCATTTTTGACTCTTAAGCCCACAAAGCTAGGAGTCCATCATATATAGTGAGTGTGGAGTGCATAGGGGAGGGATCACTGCACACTACCTGGTAAAAAATATTTGTTTCAAGGCACGGGATATTAATTTTTTGGACTTTTTTCTTCTGAACACCTGTTTATTTATTGGAGCACTCAAGCACAAAACATTTAATGTTATGGACTTTATTTATTTGATTTTATTTTTCGCGCTGTGTTTAATATTATATATTATGGATGGAAATTTGTCAAGTCAAGCAGAGGCTGGCTGAATTTAGATCCATGTATAGGCAGTCTGGTTGTGCACAAGATGATATATTGATCAGCTTGTGTACAACCAGCCTGTTAGGTTTTTCCCCAACAACCAGTGCAACTACAACACTGATCATTGTATTCTGATGATAGGGAAGGATTCCTGCTGTCAGAATACGATACCCCAACCTCTCATCTCCCGCTTACCTCTTGACATTTCACCTCCACTATCTGACAATACTGTCTTATCATACAACCATTTCTTAAGCCACTATATGCATGTACATCTGCATCCACTCTTGGAAGAAGCTATTTGCCCAATTAGTTCTGGACTAGAGACTACAGCTGACAATTATCTCTAAAATGGAGGGGGTATTGGCTTTCTAGCTCTGAATACTGTAGCTACAGAACCACCTGTATCCATAACTCCTATTGTGTCATTCCAAATGGTACCATGCAATGGTTGACATCATGATGCAATCCTTCGATCCCAATTTCCTTCAGAGAGGTAGGCAAGATTGCTTGATCTCAGTCAGAATGAATATAAAAGTGCTCTAAATCATATCCAAAAAATAGGTGCAAACAAAAAAGAAAAGAAATAAACTCAACATGTTTCGATATTACATTGGAGGTTTGTCAGGAGTATTCAAAAATTATTCTGTGCACCCCACATAGTGTCAAACAAAACAAAAGCACATGGTTCAAAACTTGGATTGTTTGTATGGGACTTCTATTTATATTCTCCAGATTCCAAGATGGCCACCACATCCAATGACGCAATTACGTCATCACACTGCGTCCCTGCGTCACAACATCACCATGTACTGACACCACACTTGCGCCGTAGTACTTAACAGCACAGTCTTGTGGAAGAAGGTAACATCAGAGGCAAAACAAAGTGCTCCCACAATATCAATATCACATTGCCACGTACATACTATAGAAAGGGGGAAAGAGGCACATGCCAAAAATTCCATATAGATCTGAGGTTAGGCTCTTTATTCTTTTACACATTTCCACACTTTTGTCAGGGTGTCCTATCAAAACCTAGGCAATTCCTTAATATATACAAACATGGCTCTATTATATTGTAAATAAGGAAGGAAGATGTGACTATATATCCAAAATTCAACACCATTCCTCCTCCTTCATCTATACATCTCAGACTAAATTATCTGTTTATATATACTTAATGCAGCCATCTTGAATAGTCAGGCCCACATACAAAATAAATGCATATCTCGGGGCACATGCACAATTGGCTCCCAAGATGGCCGCTATGTGATTCAGCTCCACTGCCACCTCCGCCACAGCAACGGCTACATAGCTACCACCAGGACTCCGGCACCTTGAATCGAGGAGTATAACAGCCCACACGCTCTGGCTATATGCCACGGTGACACAAGTCTCCTGTCCCGCAACAGAGACTCACCAACTTCTACCCGGCCCAGGACTCCAGATCCCAAGATGGTGCTGGCACCATGCAGAGTGGACGCTCTGTCCCTGCAGCTGAGCCGAACACTGGACCCCAGACTCCTGGTACCTTTATACGATGGTGACCTGGGTGAGTCCTCTCCCCCACTTTCACCTACATCTCATAGCCCTGCTAAATCTAGACTCAAGATTGAGGACCCTGCAAATACAGCTCAGGTTCAACTCAGCCACATCATGGTGACAACTTACTGTTGTCATGGTTACTATACTGCCCCCGGATGACAGTAGCCACCTAGGCTACCCATGACTCTTGTATTTTCTGCAAGATTTTTATTATATATATTTTTCTTGTATGTTTTAGATTGTTTCTACTAGTCAACGATACTCGACATTTGTATACTATACTTCTGGCAATCTTCTTCACAACTCCTGCCTATGCGTAACCTTATCCTCTACTTTACTTTCCACTGGTACCCCAGATTTATACCTTCTGCTCACCCGATATGATGAAACACTAACTTTCATACATGTGACAAGACATCCAACTTTCCCTCAACAGACCAATCTGCACCATCCTCACTGCAACTTTATATGCCTAAATGATGCTTAATATAGTATCACTCAATGTAAGAGGCCTTAACTCTCCTTATAAAAGGTCATCACTAACCAAGCTCTACATGAAGATATCATCTTTATCCAAGAGACTCACTTTGCTTAATCTAAGATGCCCCCTTTCAAGCTGAAGAATTTCTCTACAAAGCACCTAGCTTCTCATCACAAAAAGGTAAATGGAGTCATGACAGCAATCAAAGACTCGATTAACTTTCACTTCACCTCTGACTACGCTGACCCCCAAGGTCGTTTTCACATTCTAGTATGCTTTATCAATGATATCTCTTATACACTTGTCAATGTATATGGTACAAACTCCAATCAAATCCAATTCTGCAAACATTTACTTACTAAGCTTACCCCTCTTAGAAAGGGTCACCTAATTATAGGAAGTGACTTCAATATAGTGGGAAACGTCCAATTGGATTCATCTTCTGGCAAACGATCTCCAAACCACAGGCTGTACCAATTTCTCCACATCAATGACCTATACGAAGTTTGGAGATGTCAACATGGATCAGAAAGAGACTATTCATACTACTCTCCATCTGAACTTTTGTACTCCAGAATAGACTTGTTCCACACAGATAAATGGACATTACAGCACATTTCCTCCTCAACAATAGGATCAATAACATGGTCAGACCATGCACCAATTACCATCTTGATAGGCACATCTGGCAGACCATATAATCCTAACCCCTGGAGGCTGAATTCCACACTACTGACAAAC